CAGTCATTCCGATTACTCCAGTCGTTCCCGTTGTCGCGCTCTTCGATTTTCTCGAGGAAGCATCTGTACTTCGCAAAACGTCTTATCAAACTCCAACCACATCCTGGCCGCGCTCACCACCCCTCCACGCGTCCACTGTCACTTCGCTGCGCATTTCGCACCCTTCTCAACGGCGATAGTCCCGGCAGCGCCACACTTTAAGCTCAGAACGCTGCGACGCTCCTCCCCTCCGCAGAGGCCACTCACTAGTCCCGGCGTCATCAAGCAGCACTAGCACGCCCTCCAAGTCTCCATCCCGGGGCCCCTTTGGTTCCTCGAGGGAAAAAGTCCACGTCGTATCGTCCGCCGCGATATACCTACGGGGACCTGGAGATCCCAGTCGAAGCTGGAAGGTACGGATAGTCAGCCTGCACACACCTGCTTACGCCTGCGGCTTGCTTGGCTCGCCCTTGCAACCTCGACGTTCCACTCAAACAGGCCTCCTGGCGACCCGCTCCCACTCCGGCCTAGGTATTGCTGGTCGCAGTCAATCTATCTGGCTGCGTGCCTGTCAGCTAGTCTCGTCGAACAGAGAGGGCTCCATTGATAGAAGTACATTTAGGTAGCTAGAATGCCACCTTCTTCGTCGTCGCCACCCCCAATCCTCGCCATTACGGCCACTTATCTACACCTGCTGGCCCAACACCTCCCCCGGCCCCTCTACGAAGTCCTTCAAAAGCTTCACAACCACATTGCGCGCTTCTTCGCCGGCGTCGCATCATCTGCTCTCGTCGTTCGCATACACTCGCTTATCCCTGCCAAGATGCATCGCACGCTGGGCTTCTCGGCCTTTCTGGTCACGCTGTTCTTGATATTCGGACTACCCGTCATCCTCGCCCAGAGCGAGCCGTTCCACTGTTATCCATACCCGCCCGCGGACAAGCTCGCCAGTCCCTTCATCACCCTGCAGCCGCATTGCTGTAAGGGCTCAATCGACAACAAGCTGAGAGTAGGCACCGACTGCGAATTGGCCAACGGAGGAAAATACAAGACAAAGTTTGGACAGGATCTGGGAACTTGCGCGACAGGCTGGGTGGACGCGTGCTGCATGCGACTGGTATGCGCACACATCATACTGTTTTCGGATTTATCGCTAACGGCTGACCTAGCATTACCCGCCCGAAATTGCACGGCCAGAAATGTCCTATTGCGATGCAGGCTTTCTCGTCAAGGCCGAAGCCAAGAATATCATTGATGCCCGTAGCTGGAACCCGAAGAAATACGGAATTTGATGATGGGAGGCGAGGATTGGAACAACGATTACATAAACATGGCCACGATACGGCGAGCTTTGCTCGATGACACTCAGCCACGGCAGGGTCAGGCGAATCGAGTGAAATATGGGACACCTCCACGGCCGATGATGCCCCAGGAAATGCGGCGTGGGGCGAGAGATCGAGCGAGACCCAGCGAAACCCCAGCGGCTCCAGCGAGTCAGGGAATCTCCACCGCCGCAACGATCCGAGTGAAGAGATTATCGACTAGGAGCGCAGGAGCACTCAGAGACCGCCCTGCGCTGTTTGAGAGGGAGGAAACACACTACCACCTAACGAATGGCGAAACAAAGGCATTTTGGCGTTTTGCGGGCGACGACTGCATTATGATGGCACGATTGCGACGGTCGCCCTCGTTCGAAACAACTTAGGGCTTCCGCATTATATACCCAGGGTAACTGATTTTCGTTACCTACCATTTGCATCCTATCTTGTACAAAAGCAGTCGGGATTTTTAGACGAGGGGCCGGAAGAGGGGGCCGAGAAGAAACGAAACACAGATGATTGACTGCCGGAGGCCGTGTGTCACCATGGTCTGGTCAAGTTCACCTTACTTTTGTATACCTAGTGTGTGTATTATTAGGAGCGTCTCATGGTTGTCAGTCAATCCGATCTCCACCTTTTCGGAAAGGTTTCGCCCTCGTCAGTTCTCATCGGACCTGATCATCGCCCAGTCTGTCCAGTATCTAGGTGTTTTGCTGCCTATCCTTTCTGATGGAAATGGGGCACGATGGTCATGGCGCGAGAGAAGCTGAGCAGAGTTAAATATGTGACGACGAGTCAGCAATGCGGTGTCGTCTTGTTATCGTCCAACTACGGGGTGTCAAAGCCTTTGGGAAATGGCCTGACTATCATAGTTGTTCACGCCCGACCGAACTATCAAGTGGCGGTGGTGTCGGGTTCGGTATGCACGTGTCACCCCGCGGGGTAGGTAGGCACTGGGACGGGTGGCGAGCGGTTCTACCGGCTGCGACGGTCAGCCCTGTGAGAAGAAAAAGGTTTGGACCAGTGCGGCAAACTGGCGAACTCCTGGAGGTGGTCTATGTTTTTTTTTTCTGGTGAGAGGGGGGGGGGGGGGGGGGGTGGGGGGGGGGGGGGGGGGGGGGGGAGGGGGGGTGGGGAGGGGGGGGGGGGGGGTGGGGGGGGGGTGGGGGTGGGGGTTGTTTGGTGTGGGGGGGGGGGGGGGGGGGGGGGGGGGGTTCAAGACTTGGATTGAAGAGATCCCGCCGGGTAGATTACTCGGTACTCGGAACCCAGGCGAGGCATGGTAGCGAAGATGGCGAATTCTGCCCGTGGGATACGCGGATCAACGAGGAAATCGATAACATGACTTGATATTCCGACTGGTTGGCTCGGGTGGCCAACAAATTGCAAGATCACGGGTGGGCAGGATAGCTCTCCAGATTACAATTCCTTTTCTGCGCGGTGGGCATTTGCAACAGTGCCAAAACTTGGGGAGAAGTTTGAGGGTAGCAGTGTATGCGATTCTTGTAGGAGCTATAAAGCGATACCGAAAACTCAGATTTCAATTGGACGAGCTATCGAGGTAGCTAGGGAGATTGTAATGGTAACCGTGGCATCCCTTCCCATACCGTTAGAGGCGCTCAACGCTCAGCACCGCGTAAGAAAACATTGTGCTTTTATGATGATTCTACAAGACCAGTAACCTGCGTACTTTGGTCAATGACCGTTCGGACGATTGTACTTGATTGAGAATGCGAGTACGACAAGGCTTATTTCGAGATGCGTCGTTCTGCAGGATGATGTGCAGCTATGGAGCACTTTGAGCTGTGAAGCAACTGAGGCATGCACTCTGGGAAGCACGGTAAGGTACCTAAGCTTTGCTCGCAGGTTTGGCTGCAGGTCGCATGTACGTATTTCTTCAAGACACCGAGGAGACGGGGCATCGGATAAATCGGTACGTATCGTCCATCCCGATCCGACTTCATCTCCTCAATTACGCCGGAAGAGATGTTCCTGTTTCATCTTTTCTTTTCGGGACACCTCAGGGCACGACTCTTCTCCGTTGAGTTGAGCGCAAACTGCCACTGCTTTCAGTCAATACATCCGGACGGTATCGAGCCCCCTTTCGATGATGATTGTGGTTTCTCCTGTCGTTTCCAATTGGACGACTTCCTATCGAAAGGAAACTCTGGACAAACCATCAGCACCCCCTTGGTGACCCTGGGTGGTCTCTTTACGCTCGTCTGCGTGTCCCTGCTAGCTGCAGATCGCTCTCCAGTCTCCACGTTCTTCTTCTGTTGGTTGAGTGGAGTGGAAGCAACACCCAGCTCGCAACATGGTCGGGTCTGTCCGTTTCGCCGCACGGCAACTGGGCAGCATACTCTAATGTAAAGCAGGCGGGAAGGACTGAAGAAGAGGAAGAAGAAGAAGTCTAAGTGGACTCTTTTTCTTTAGTCTGGACACTCTAACACAATCGCCAGGAGTCGAGGGGACCATACAAGCACACGTCGAAACCGGGGTCTGTGACACTCTGTCACACAGCCGCCACACGCGGCAGTTTCACCGTGCCCAGTCAGGACCAATAACATTAACCTCCCGTTAGCCTCCAATGCCTCTCCCGACGACCTCTCATGCCCTCCATCCAATCGTCTTCAACTTCCTCGACCTCGCCCGTTCAGCCAGCCTCACATCCCCCACGGGCGCCCGACCAACCTGCTTCTGAAACTGGCCCGTTGCCTCTGCACGTTTGTCTCCCTAGGCCGTGCTTGAAGTCTCCTGGCAAAGGCGACAAGTCGTTGTCTGCCAAGCGGCAGTAACATATCCCTCCTAACCCCGTATTGGGATGAAAGCCACCATCAGAGAACTTGGAACGCCGAGGTGACAGAAGACAGCGACACAAGACAGCTCGGCACGATCTTTGATGGGCAGGCTGGCAGGACTGACTGGCGTACCACCCGAGCGGCGTCTTCCCCGCCCGCCGCTGCCCCTCCACCCCTCTTCTCTTCTTCCCTTCTAAGAAGCGTTCCTGATTACTTCTCTTATATCATGCGAGAACCTGTGATCGTCCGCGGGGTTGGAGCAAGGCTGTTCCCTTCCTTTCTTCTTCCGAGCCCTTAGATTGGGTCTCTATTCCCCCCCTTCCCTTGTTCTTAATATTCTTATTCGACTGTTACCGACTTGCCTCACCCTGGGCTGGTACCAGTCAATGAGAGGCTGACTTGAGAGAAAATCCCATCCGGATTCCCAAACATTATTCATGCAAAAGTGCGCCTATAGAGTAACACGGCGCCGGGCAACTCTTCCCTGCGGCTCATCCAAGGTTCCAGTTCGTCAGACAAGCTAGGTCGTTGCCACCACACACTCTCGCTCCGTACTGGCTTGCTGGCTTTGCTAGCTACCACTATCTTACTGCCCGCCTTCTCCGCTCTTTTCTACCGTTCTTCGCCTCAATTTACTCGCAACAAGCGCGCTCTTAATCCCAATTCTAATCCAGAGGATCGACAAACACCCCGACCATTGATCTTCGTTTCCTCCCGCTAAGGGGGCGACCCAACGAGAAACAAAACAAACAGAGCCGCTTGGGACATCAAACACCACAACGACACTCGGAAGACGATGAATTTCAGTTGACGCTAGACCCCGTCTCCCTCCCCTCAGCTCCCCCGACTGGACTTGTCCGTTGCTCGAGAAGACCATCTCGCCTGCGTTTGTCTCCTCTGATCAATGGCATCTGATGCGAGGGCCAGGGCAAACGTGCCCCGCAGAGTAGGCAAGCAGACTACGAATGGCATGGACTCCTATCATCGTTATGTAGCAGAATCAAATACGCCGCCGCCGCCGCTGCCGCAAGGGGACATCGTCGCCCGGCCGTACACCAGTCACTCCCGTTCCTTTAGCACGCCGCGTCCCTCAATAATAGAACCGTCTTCGTCAGGTAGCAGCAGCGATGCCGATAGACCAAGACCGCTACCGGTGCCCGAAATTACCATCAGTAGCCCAGGAAAACCGCCGAGGGCCAACCCTCGATACTCATTGACGCCTCGCCAGGCAACTTTTCCTCCGATAAATGCTCAAAGGCTAGCGGTGCCAGGAGTGAGGCCGCCTCCGCCCGCGCAACAAATACCACCGGCCCCACGAATACAACGAGTTCAACCACCACGTCCAATCGCCTCGACACCACCAACCACGGCCGATTCTGATGACCTACGAAAACGAAATGGGTTAGTCGACGTCGCTCTTCCGTACCGACCGTTTTATCTCCAAAGGAGGGTCCTCAGCTCGTTTGCGGTCCTCTTCGCCGGACTCATGGTAACCGTAGAAGCCGTGTTGGACCTATCAAACAAAAGAGGAGGACTCGGTTCGCCAGAGCATGGGTTCAGATATCTATGGCAGTACGGTTCGGCCTTCATCTTCACCTGTATCGCCGCATTATGGGCGAGACCCGAACACCAGGCAAAAGCCAGCGCGCCGTGGCTTCGGATGGCAAAGGGACCTGCGAGTGTGGACAGGACCCTGATGCTCGACTACGTCTTCATATTCGAGCCATGGACCATTGCGAAAGCAACAAAGAATCGGGACTGGCTCGTTGCGGCCACGGCGTCTGTCGGCCTGACGCTCAAAATCATCATCGTCATCGCTGTGGCGCTCGTCAGCCCAACGTTCCAGATTGTGACTGCTCGAGGTGTGAGTTTGAACCTACACAACACGTTTGTGAACGATCCCACTGGGCTACGGAATGCTGGTGCCCTGCCTTTCTTCACAATGACAGCTCTCCAGACGAAAGGCCTCAACTTCCCAGACGGCACTTCCAAAGAATTCGCTTTCCAGTCATTTTCTGCGGACTTGCCCGCGACAGCTGAGCTGAGGACCAATGTCGACGGCTTCCAATCCGAAATCGAGTGTGAGCCGGCACAGTTCACCTTGAACGGTGTCCAGTTCATCCAAGCTTCGGACGTTCAGCTCAACGCCACTGTCTCGACTCCGAATTGCACCTTGACGCAAACCATTCCGAATATGGCGCTGATTGGCTTCACACTTCCTACCTTCTTCATGGCATTTCAGGCTGGGACGTGCGGGAACTCGCCCTTCCCAGACGATGGGAGGGTGGTCGTCATGACGGGAGCCATCCAGATTAACGAATCCAGTGTACCGACGGAGAGCGACATTTTCAATGTGCCCATTTCGGGTGCTGTTTCAAGGTCTGCAGCACTGATATGCCGTCCATCGTACTTCCTCACCAGGGTTCATGTCACAAAGAACAACACGCAACTCATCAAGATCGAACGGAACCGCTCTGCAACGAACAAGACCCTCGAGCTGGTTCATCCGTGGGACATTGTACAAGGACACTTCAACTCCTATCCCACCGATTCGCAGATCCTCGCAGCGATACCAAATATCAATAGTCGGTACCCCGGCATCGCCATTGTTGCTTCCGACGCCGTCATGAACTCGGCTGTCGCTATGCAGATCAAGGACTACGGGCTTCCTCCGATCGAGACGTTCCTGAAGACGGACAACCTGACCCAGATCTCGACAGCGTACTGGAAGCAGTATACTGCTCTCGTCGCACGGAGCTCACTGATGGGCGAGACGCAAGAGAAATCTACCGGTACGGCCATCATCATTGGAGAGCGGCTCAATGTTCGCCAAATACCAGCGCACCTCCTTTCTGGCCTGCTGGGCTTCGTTCTAATATTAGTGTTGGCTGCAATTGCCCTCGCGCCAGCAAAAGGCTTTCTGCCCCGCGACCCAAATACCATTATCAACATGGCCACCCTCCTCGCTCACAGTCGCCAGCTTCTTCAGTGTCTACGCGGCACCGGTGCTGCCGACACATCAGTCGTACGAGAGAAGCTGCTCGGCACGAACTACTACACCGGCGTCGAACCCTACGAGAAGGCCGAAAAGGAGGCGAGAGGATACTTCAAGATCTTTGGTGGCGCCCCGCCCCCTCAGAACCAGCCGGTCGAGTTTGTACGAAATGCCGATTGGAAGCATCCGCTGCCGCTAAATCCATGGGCAAGGTTCGCCGCCGTGGTGACTATGATTGGCATGATCGTTGCCCTTGAAGTTGTGCTTCGTATTTCCAACGCACACGCCGGCATCGCGACGATCAAGGCAAACACCGACAAGCATTTTCTATGGACAACAGGGACCGGCGTCATTTTCGGTCTGGTGGTGCTGTACCTCGCCGCCGCGGACTGTGCGACCCGATGTCTTGCGCCGTACGCAAAGCTTAAAGAAGGGGGATCCTTCGAGACGACGGTTCACTTGGACTTCATGGACAAGTCCAAGCATAGAATCCTGTTCGATGCCGTCAAGACGCAAAATATCGCTGTCGTGTTCACCACCACCGCTCTAATCGTTGCGTCGCTCCTAGCGACATTCTCTGGGGCTCTATACAGTACGACACCAATCCCGTCTACGCGGCCCGTCAACCTTCAGACCCTCGACAGCTTCATTAATGCGTCCTCACCTTGTCCGACCTGTACCACTGATACTCTTCTTGCCTCCCTGATCCTCGACGCGAACCTGACCTTCCCATCATTCACCTTTGAGGACCTCAACTTCAACAGTCTGCAGCTATCGGAGCCCCTCGATATGCAGGACGGCGCCGGGACCATTATCGCAACGGTGCCTGCCCTTCGCTCACGGCTCGATTGCAGACTCTACCCGCAATCCGAGATCAACACAAACTTTACTGTCCCTGACTTGCCGAATCAGTTTTCACAGGACATGAAGGTCAACATCGCCGGTGAGCCGTGCCTCGATCCATCAATCCGGTCCAACGCCGTCTTACCGCCGGGCGTCTCCCCCTCTTCCGTCTTCGGCGTCGCTACACCACGGTCTGCTGCTTCGTCGCAGTGCTCCGATTTCACCTATGTCTGGGGTCAGCTTTCCGACAGCACCCCCATGCAGGTGGGCTACATCTCAGCCATGGGCTGCAACGAGACGCTCGAGACTGTAACGGCCAAGATCCGTCTCACGGGCGCCTCACTACACGTGGACACAACCTACCCGCCCATCGTACAGGAAAACACCGCCAAGCCGATCAAGTTAAGACTGCTCCCGTTGCAGTACGGACTCCTCGCCAACCTCACCACGGGCAACCAGCTCGATCCGTTCTTCAGTTCACTCGTCACATCGCGATTCGCGGTGCCCGCGGGGAACCTAGGCGATCCGGGCCTGGGCAAGAGCGGTCTCGTAGCGGATGCCATCGTCCGGCAGCACGGCATCTTGCGCGCCCAGAACCTCAACGTCAACTCCCGTCGTCGCCTCCCGGACGTGACGGCGCAGCAGGTCATCCCCGCCATGCTCGAGTCGACGTCCGTCACCTCTCTGCGCCGTCTGGTGCAGGACACCGCTTCGACACGCATCATCCAGTCCGTGCTCGGTCTCCTTGTTGCCTTAACGCTCGTTGCGTGGCTTCTCACGCCCGGGACGGATACCATCCTCCCGCGGAACCCGTGCAGTATCGCTTCCGTGGCAGCGCTGCTGGCCGACGGCAATGTATTTGGGTTCTTGGGCCGTGGGGCGGAGTGGCAGGCGACGGAAGAGATGAAGCGCAGCTTCTTGGACGGGAGCCACTCGATGGGATTCAAGATTGGGTATGAGCGGGTGAGGAAGCGCAGGGGCGCGGAAGACGTCAATGGGGTGAGGGGAGACGGGGATATGGCGTACGGCATCAACGTCAAGCGTGGGGGCGGGTGGGGTGGAGGTGAGGATGTTGGGCTTGGGATCTTGGCGAGGGTGAATGGGGCGCAGAGGGGGTTTGTTAGGGGATGGGGAAAGATGTGAGTCCCTTCTTATTCATCACCTGATGTTTTCTTTCTTTTCTTCTTGTATTACATCTGGTTGGTTCGTATAGTAGCCTGTGACCTTTTTGGCGTTTTTGTTTGTCCTGGGACGAACTTTTTGGGAGCGGGATGATACCACACGCGAGACTTATTCTTTTGGAAGAAGAAAATGGGGAAAACGAGAACCATGGGGAGTCTCGGGTTTGAGATCATGGGTCTCTTTTCATTTGTATGTACTATTATTTGGTATTAGTACTTTTAGTCTCTTCAATGTTTACACATTTGGATGGGATTCCTTGTTTCCATGCGAGGCATAGAAGAAGTATCACGCCCGGTGTGTGGTGCTGTGAAGGGGAACTTCTTCCCCCTTTGGATACTGTCTTGGAGTCCCGTCGCTGTGATGCCAAGTCTATAGTCGCAGCAGGGAATCGTTACTGTAAAGTGTGCAAGACTGCAATCTGGCGAGACTTGATCCGATTGCGACAACATACAGCTTACTCGCAATTGAGTAGTTACACGTAGCTAGAGAGATGCGATTGAGATACCGATACAGAGAGCGGTCCCGAATGTAACCTCTCCCCATGAGGCTCACAAGCCTCTCATTATTAGAGGGGGCTCAGCACTAACTCTTACTTTCTTAGCAGTGGCGCTGTCAGCGACGATAAGCAATCTTCCGTTAAGGCCTTCGCTGTCCCGTGTGCTGGTTTGCCCACCGTAAAGTGCCCAGCACCCAAGTGAGTCTTGATCCCGGTGCCGATCGATCTCGGCAAAGTGGGTTTCGTGCTGCGTGTGGTCGGGTCCCTCGGGTGAGTTGGGTCTCGGGGGTAAGCGGGGATGGGGAGGATGCCGATTCGGTGGGACCGAGGAGCCGTCGGGGATTTTTGAGGGGTTGGGGATGGATGGGTTTGTTTGAATGGAGGTATACGTGAGTGTATAGGAAATGGATGGGAAAAGGGGTGTGAAGGAGGGCGTTGGGGTGGTGGTTGGTGAGGTGGACGAGTCTTGGCTGCGGGAGACGAGCGCCTCGAATCGTGTCTGGGGTCTTGGCGGGTTATGCGATCTTGAACGGACGAGAGAGGCGGGTGTGGCGCCGGGAAGGATGGGCGGACGTCACGGCAGATGGGCGATCATGGGCTGCATCATGGACTTTGGGAATGGCAGAGATGTGTTGTGTTGCGGACAGGAAGAGGTAGTATGTGGGATTTTTTTCTATGCTGTTTTTTGTTCAGGTTTGGATATCATGCTGTGTGGGTTCCATCGCTTCTCTCCGAGCGCCTTTGTGTGTTTTGCCATTTCATGATGGGTTTCCCGTGAGTGATGCGTCTTGTTCCTCGTTCCTGTATCTTTCCCAAAAACTCCAAGTCTTTCCAAAATGGGAGACCTTTCGAATGCTGATCTGATGGGTATCGAGTTAGCCATGAGGGTCCTTGAAGAGGAAGCATCAGCTTGAAGGGCACACGTACCATGCGTAGAAATTGGAAATCATGTCTGTGGAATGTCTCGCAGTGCCTTTAGACAATGCTGCAAGTGCATCCGAGGCGCTTCTCGGGGTCGACGCTGGGGAAGCCGACGCAGATGCGGCCCTCGGCCTCGCAGTTGACCCTGGAGTCGCCGCAGACGGTGTCGGTGCAAGGGCCGTCGAAGCGGGCGGCGACGGTGGCGGCGAGGAGGGAGATGATGGCGAAGGCGGCGCGCATTTTGGCGGTTTAGCTGTGTTGGTGTTGAGTTGGAGGTGGAGAGGAGTTTGGATGGTTGTGAGAGAAGGTTGAGTTGGAGTTGTGTGGGTGAGGTGGGATGATGATGGTGATGGTGATGGGATGGCAGGAGTGAGAAAAGGCGGGATGGTCAGCTTCTTCTTATACATCAGTTTACAACGGAAACTTGCATCTTGAGTCAAATCTACGGGATGGAGGTGATAAACTTTGGAAACATTATGCCAAGGCCTCTGGGGGCATGGATGAAGGGTCTGTTGAGGTTGACACCGCCCTCTTCCGTAGACTTGCTAGGTTGACTGGCTTGTCTCTGCAAGAGGAATACCAAGACTTTGGCTAGACCAAGACTAACCAAGAGTTTGCGACTTCTTGGAAAGTGCTCGAGATCTGCTCGATGTGGTTACAAGGAGGATGCTATTTTCGAGGTTGCTGGTATCCGTAGCGGAGCTGTCCTGAACCACTTGGTCAGTGAGCAGGTGGTAAAAGTGGTCAGGCACATGATTATGCTTCAAAGACCGGCCAAAATTACAAGTGTATGGAGTAGTGTACTGAGTACTGTGGTATTGTGGATTGGCTGGTGGCCTAGGTTGTTCACCTTGAGGTCCGTTCTGCGTTACTTGGCGTACGGCAAAATCCGATACTGTCGACTCTAGATAGCCTATCTGGTTGAGTACGGCGTAAAGTTCACGGAGTAGCGAAGGACGGGGGCCAGCAGGCTGTCCGCAAGTTTTCGCTACTGTTGCTGCACCGGCTTTGCTTGGGGGTGGGTGGTCTTGGCGCCTGCGCGGGCAGTGTTTGGGGCTATTAAAAGCCCATCGAGTATATGAGCTTGATCTGTGCTCTTGGCGATGAGGTGTTTCCAATCCCCCTCTTGGCGGGCCTTCCGTTGGCTAGGTATCCTTAGTAGGGGGCTGCAGAGCTGCTCAGTTCAAAGTCCGCTACCTTAAGTATGGAGTATTCGTACGGATACATCTCTACAGGCACATTGGCTAGCCGTGTGTTGCTGCCTCATGACGATGATGGGCGGGCAATTTAACGGGTAATCAGCCGGGGAATTTACTCTTGAGAGATTTGATGGACGTGGTAATGTGTCGCGTGAGTCTTTTCCCTCTTCTAGACTCGCGTCTTGGCATTCTTTCTGCGAGCTGGCAACTATCCGCAATAGGTGCTTCGCGCCCGTTGAAATCTAAACTTTCGTACTGCGAGAGGTTCCATAGGCTAGAGAGGCAACAAAAATGGGGAATTAGGGGGGGGCGCAAATGGCGCACTTCCCCAGTGGCTTAGGGTTGTTCTCCCGTCAGAGGGCCTTGGCTACGGCACTGCTACACGACTCAGGCGCCCTCGTCCCGGGGTTAGTGACCGCGAGTAAGTCGTTCGTAGTGGACGGCCGTGCCCAACAAATACCAAGATGAGATAAGATCCTGAAGCCTCATATTGCAACTAGGAAGTCGCATGTTATTTATGGTTGTTATGTGGAGTCAACTGGCCTACAAGCCCTGCTAATGGGGGGTTTGAGTTCTAGAATCTGTTGGAGCTAGGCGTGGCTTTGACATTTGTGTGTATCCGTAGTCTGTGTCTGTAGTGTGACGGCATGTGGGCTACTCCGTCTGCTTGGGTTTGACAGATTGACGTGCGCAAGCGAGAGTGAGGCACGGCAATGTGAATTGGACCAGGCGAGTGAACGTATACAGGGTTTTAGGGGATGTTTTTATTTCTGCCTGTAACTTCTCCCCGGTGGGAAAGGAGGTGTTCATTTGATGATTAGTCTTCACGAGCCTTTGGGCAGATGGTGAAACCGAGCTCCTAGACTCTACTCAATCTCGGAGACAACCCTCTATTCTACAGACTCTTGCGAGAAAGCAGAGCAGGGCTACGAAGTAGTCTACGATATAGTACGCCCAGAGATCTCCTTTTTCAGCCGACGAGCCGCCTAGAACTCGATTACAAAACAAGCTTCCAGAGATCACCCGCAGGCCGAAATTCCAAGACCATAGTAATTAATAACGTCTGTACCATTACACCGCCCAATGTGCACTACCCCCAGTCATCTCGGTCCAAGCCCACATATTACCGGCCTGTATCAGAGTGCTCATCTTTCCTGCGATCTCCTAGTATCTACCGCCAAGACATGTTTTCGACTCATGGTCACCCTTGCTACGTTGGCTTCTCGACAGCCGTCTAGATCTGGGTAAACAGACCCGATGATTGTGGCATGGTTGCCAAGAGTGGCAAAATACACCCGTGATGAGTTGGTTCGTCACGATTTACTGCGGCTGCTTCGGGTGACGTACTGCGCAGGAATTCCAAGAGAGCCGCTGCTTCACAGCATCTTTCATGACAGTAGCCAAGGGCGATGAGCCATCTAGAGAATGAAGTCTACTGTTCGGGTGGCGGCTCAACACGGTTGAATAGCGATCAGTTATCATCACCGATGAGCTATGACGCTTCACCATGGATTAGTAGCGGTTGACTCGTGACATCGTAAAGACACCAGACTCATAGGCCGATCTTCTGCTCACGATCATCTTCCAAGATGGAGCTAGGTATCAAAGCTCAAAATGTCATTACTCGGCGAATCTATTCGCTCATACTCTGTAAAGATACACGAGTCCGGCAACATGTAAACCCACCGCACGTCCAGTGCCGCTTTTAGCAAGTCATGTATCAGACTCGCCCGATGGAATAGAAGAGAGCACAGATCAGCGGAGCTGTCCGCGCACCTCCTTTTCATCCTAACCCAAGCGTTCGGGATACGAAATCCGGGGTGAGTGAACGATGCCACCTATTCCTCAACTCTAACCATGTCCCTTGCACCAATTCAAAGGTGCCTCCGGAAGGGGTGCGCTTCTGTGTTCAGCACATAGTCGTCGAGGCTGATGAGGTCGGGCGGTGAGAAGACGAGGTAGAAATATTTCAGTGTCTCCGCCAGCCAGAAACTCTAAATAGGTGGTCATGCAGTGTCAGTCAAGCGGAATTTTTCTCTCTCTGTTCTCTCCCCTTCGTAATCTCCCGATTTAGAACGGAAAACTCATCCCTGCCAAAAAGGAATGCTGACATGGCAGGAGAATGCAAAGATGAGGAAAGAGCACCAGATAAGCAAAAGGAACATGACGAGAAAACTCACCTCCATGTAATCTTCCTTAGGCAGCGGATCCTGCTTCTGCGTAACATCCAACACCGCAGCATTGCCGTGCTCGACGAGCGTCCCGTTACTCACAGCCTTCCACATCTCCCAGGCCGCCTCTTGGAATCCCTGGTCGCCCGTGATGCGGTAGAGCACAAAGACACTCTCAATCGCCTCGGGCCGGAGGATATACCGCGGGTCCTTGGCCGTAGTGAAGCCCTTGGGCAAGTGCTCCTTATACTCCGTCTTCAACTTCTTCGCCGCGTCCCACTTGTCTTCGTCCCACACGCACGCGTCACGACGGTCGCACTTGACCATGTTGTACCGCTCCGGCATCATGCCCGTCGGCATGGCCTGGTAGGCGTAGTAGCACCCCAGCGTCAGCCGCGCGCCGACGGTGACCCACTCTTCTTTGCCCAGCACGCGACCGGCAAGGGCGTAAATGCCGCCGATGAAGCAGGACAGGTGCTCGCTTTCCGGGTCGAGGGAGCGGGTTCCGCCTGCGTCGACGTCGACGTTGCCCGAGATGAGGACGTTTTCGCCGCCGGGAAGCATGGGTCGGAAGAAGAGGGACTCATTGGCTGCTTTGAGGAAGTTCTCCGTCATGGTGCGGTATTTTGGTTCCGCACCGTTGAGGAGGGCGATCATCTTGGGGAGGTATTCGTAGAGCGAGTCGGCGCAGCCGCCGATAGTAAAGGTTGAGCCCGTGACGACGTCACGGTCGGCCATGTGGACGAACATGGGCCACATGCCAGGGAGTTTAGTCTTTTGCTGGCCGTCGTGGAAGAGGTCCATGACTTTGGCGGCGGCGTCGTAGTACTTTGGATTGCCGGTGAGTTGGGACAGGCGCGTCATCTCGAGGGATAAGGTGCCCGGTGACGCGGAGACGACGGAGCCCTCGACGATGAGGCCCTTGCCTGACTTTGCGTCGTTGAAGTTGATAAAGTCTACCGGCATGCGGTGCTCTGTGTTGAAGGCGCCATACAGCAGATCACCGAGCTCGGTAGCCTTGTCGAGGAGGACGCGGCGCCCGCTGAGGTCGTAGGCGGCCATGAGACCGCCGAGGTAGCGGATGTTTGTCTCAAAGGTGTTGACGCGGTCCGACGTGGAGATGCTAAAGTCAATCTTCGCGACGGCCGCGACAGCCTCCTCGAATTCCGGCTTGAGGCCCATGATCCACAGGACGTCGAGGGAGTCGACGAGGGTGGCGGCCCAGCCGGAGAACTGGTCCTTTGCGGTGGCCGAGATGGGGTTGAGAGCATCCTTCATCCAGGCATACTCTCTGTAATTCGCCCAGTTCTTTTGGAAGAGGCGCCGGACTTCTTGCCGGCGGGCTTCCCGGCGCCGGGAAGCGGAGAGGGACTCGGAGGCGAATCGGTGTTGCACACGGGGCAGGGAGCCGCGGCCGCCGTTCGGGACGCGGGTGAGCGGGTCTTGAGGCGGGTACTTTAGGTCGACGGCGGACCAGTCGAAGCTAGACTTTGGTGTCGCCGGTTGCCGAACGAGGCTTTCTGTGTTCATGAAGCGTTCCAGCATAGCTGTTTCTGTGCGCGGGTGTAGCCATGTTGTGTCGAGGATGTAGATGACACATGTTATTGTGATGAGGGTGAGGACGATGGAGCGCACCCGCGTCCAGCGGTATGATGTCCTCCCCATGACAAATGTCTATGTATGTCTGTGTAAGTATATGTGAATAAAGAGACGCGTGAATGAGAGGCGGCGTGATGGCCCTGGGGCGTGATGAGGCCTTCTCGATGGTTGAAGCCAAGCAAGGGAGGGAGACTGTGTGACACGGCTAGGTTCGAGTCATGGAAACGGTTCGGCGACGGCGGTGGAATGAGAGTGTCTGCCGTCTATCGAATACGAGAAAGGAACATGAAGTGTGACCAAGCAAGATGCGACAAGAAAAGCTGTGGTCTGTAAGGAGGGAACCGTTTACGGATGTCGCTGTCGCAAGCCCCTGATTGGGAATCTCATAGCAAAATCTCACCAGTTGGAGTTGAGGTGAGGTAAGGGCCGGCGGTGCAAGGCTAGGAGAAAAGGCGGTTAGGTGTTCACAACCAACTTTGACTTTTACCGAGCAAGCCTGGGCCAAGCCAAGCCAACGGGCGGCGGCTTTCTTGGTTAGATTTGTGGCGTTCCATGGAACTTGGAGCGACGTTTCGAGACGGTTGAGACATGGAGCTGAAAGTCAAAACACACGTGCCCCATTTCCCGCGTATTTCAGTCCCCCTAATTGTGAAAGCGACCCATCGAATTTTGGGGTCGTTTGTGTCTGGCGAACCTTGCTTCATCCCTGTCGAGAGTTTACTTACTAAGGTAGAATGATGGCCAGTTTAATGGGACGGACAAGACGCCGCAGGCAATTAAAGATTGATTCTCATCGTTCGGTGCCGAACAAGACCCACATTTTCTTTCGGCGCCGGAATTTAGTCACCTTCATCTTTCTACGGAGTCTGGACGCCGAGTAAGGCGGCTGCGGGATATGGAGAGCCTCCTGTATATCAAGCAAAAGATATGTATTGCCTAGGGTACTTTCGGCCTATCACTTTGACCCCGAACTCCGGGCAAAGACGCAACGATGCAACGTACATTGTAGACGATGATTTAGTTCATCCCGTGCACTTGAAGACCGAAATCTTCCCGGTCACATAAGTCAACATACCCACTTCCTGGCACCCCCCTGTTTCTGGCACCACAAAAACGATGGGATCACAACCCAACCTCCTCATTACTATTAACTATTGATCCTCAACCACACCCACTACAATACAGCTGCCAGCCTCACTAGGGCATTCAGAGTCGCTGGATTCAGCCGTGATAACCTCCTTTTCACCCGCTTCGATTTGAGCCCGATGGATATCCCTGATGTTCGCGAACTTCGTATTGGGATCG